AAAAGCACAAGCCTAGGAGTCAGGATACTGAGGTCTAGTTTCACTACCTCAAAACAGCTGCCATCTGGCAAAAGGACAAACCACCCCCTTTAGTACCTGCTCTAAAGTCACAGAAGCTTAGAGCTGAGTTGGACTCATCATACAGGTGAGGCAAAACAAGTCCAAGGAGATTAAGTGACTTGCACAAAGTGGCCCAGTTGGATGATAGAGTCACTTCGGGGTGGCAAATAACCTTCTCCCCTGTGCAGTGCAGTTTCTTCATTGCCACAGTTAGAATAAAGGTGATGTGTGTGAAAGTGCTTTGGAAAGTTAAAATCACAAGATAAAGGGAAGTTGCTGTCAGTGTTACCATCTTTTCATTGGCACACCTTGCTCCTGTTCTGCTCCAAGGCGAGCATCTCCCATGAGGGTGGGCTCTTGGCAAGTGTCAGCCACAGCACTGGCACTGGCTGGTTGTACAAGTGTGTGAAGTTACCAGACCAGCGACAGAAGGAAGCTCTTGGCCTCCTCCAGGCCCCAGGGCTCCAGACTTGAGACCCGGGAGATATCATGACTGACCCCATTCACCCTTTTGCATTGCCACACTCCAACAGCAACAAGCAATAAGGTTTCCTTGGGAGAGTAAATCTGCTTTGTCAATAATAATCCTGTCATTAATCCATGAAGCACACCAGGCCCACAGTCCACTAAGCGTTTGACAGAAACTCATTTAACTGTTGCTTCGACATACCTTTTCCAAGCTTTAGTTCACTCAGTTTTCAGATCTTTTGTCCTTTAACTAGTTTAACTAACATGCAAACATATTCCCAAACAGCCTCCAAAACAGATTATTACCAACAGACTGGAGAATGACACAAATGTAGGCCCATCTACATAAGTGAAACAAGTTTAGCCAAAGGGACCATTTGTGTGGCTTAAATCATGGAGATGAGCTTATATCCAAAGGACTGAATTCACAATTGCAGACTTGAATGATTTCCCCCTAGTTCTCTCTTGACCCAGGCCTTGGGTGGCTCCAATTTTTTCACTTCAAGAGCTCCCCACCCCACTAATATACACACATGCAAACACACACGCATGCACACAGATGGTAAAGTCACCACTGCTCACATCCCTCTTCTTTGGTGGTCTCCAGTGGTACATAAATCTGTTGGCATAAAGAGGAGAACACCAGAGACAACTGACAATTCAGCTCTGCATATTTTTATGAGAAATTATAGTCAATCATTTCTTATTTCTCCCTACACTCTCCCAAAGAAAAAACCTAGAGCAGAGGGAGCTGCAACCTTAGATCAGCAACTCCACAACAGGTCATAGGTAAGAAGAGAGCATGTGGCTAACATGAAGCTGCTGGGCTGATAGCTAGAATTCTCCAACCAAGAGAGTTTTCCAGCAGGCTAATCCAGGTTCACCAGGTGTGGTGCCCTTCGTCCCCCTCCCAGCTCCTCTAATCACCACCAGTCCTCTATTTTCACTAACTTAATGGTGACTTTTTAACAAAAGACTATGCCTGAGAAATTGTGCTGGGTCTGGGTCTGTTCCCTGGCAAGCATCTTCCAACGGCTCATCTCATCACAGCTGCCTTGGGGAACAGGTAGCTCCGCACCCCCACCCACTTTCACCAGACCCGGTGTCCAACTTCCCCACCACATTCAGCCAAGCCAAGATGTGAGCCACACACATCAGAAGCTCCCTGGTCAGTTTTGACTCAAGTGTGTTCATCAGTAAGTGTTTGGCTCCTATTTTATGAAATCTGGCGCTATTAAGCATAGAGAAGGGTCAGAGGGGACTCATTATTACTGTGGCTATAATGATGTTGATCTTGAGTGAGTCATTTCTCCTAACCTGGATTAGGCTGGTAGAAAATCCCCTAATTTATTATTATGGGCTTGGTGGCTTCATATTAACTGCATGCTCTTCTTACCCATGACCTGTTGTGTGGAGTTGCTAATCTAAGATTGCAGCTCAGAGGCAAATCTGTTTTCTTATTTGTGAATTAAGAAGCTTGAATTAGATGACCTCCATGGTCCTGTCAGACTCTGACCTCCAGTGGTCTACTTACTACCTGCTAAGTGTCCCCTCCCACCTCATCTTCCTCTCACCCTGACCACAAGTAGGAAGTCAGGGTGCTGGGTCTCTTGTTTTTACAGCCACCTTCTGGAGGTGAGACCTGTGCAGTTGAGATTTAGAACTCATTAGACTTTTGTTCTTGGAGCTAGCAGACAACAATCCACTGCCCAAACGCAGGTAGAGTAGTACTATCCCCAAGATGTACATAGGAAAACTGTGATCCAGAAGTCTAAATAGTATGTACAACATCCCCAGCTGTCCTGATAGGTGATACCAAGAAGATTAAAAACCAAATATTCAGCTTCTTCACACCGATCTCCCTCCACATGACCTCAGCCTCCCAAAGGCGCGGGATTACAGGCTGAGCCACCGAGCCCGGCCAGTCAAAGCTTTAAAAGAGAGTGCTAAATATAAAATCAAGTCTTTACAGAAGCAAATCATAGATATAACCCCTTAATATTCATATTTACTGTTTATGATTCAGAGGTGGTAGCAAAAGCTTTGATACTAAACCCTTTACCAACTAGGAATTTACAGATAACTACAATTTTTCCTATTACCAATCTATTTCATAAATCTAGAAATCTGAAACCACTATCAGAGTAATTACAATTAATAGCAAAGGAGTTCAACCCAACATATGCAGTCCCTGGGGAGCAGCTCTTTGCTCTCTTAACCTACAAGGTAATATAGACATATTTACATATATGTTTATAGTTATGACAATATATTAAAATCACACAGAACTGTTCTGTTTATCTGAAAAATTGCAAGGTCACTGCTATAAATTTAAAATGGCTTATTTTAAAAATTCAGGTGGTTTTTAAAGGTAAATTGCATTTTCCACCTGTGTACAAGAAGCTCTTTTAGACTAAGATAATTCGTTTGAATTCCTAAGTCAAAATAATCATATTTTCCTCACTAACATAAAATTTTCTAGAAATGTGCTTATAGAGAAAAATATCATTACTAACATGTACTAAAATTCACATTTAAGAATCCCAACATTCACTTTAGAGATAATTCTACTCTTGTAAATATTCAATCTTGACTCATTTAATCCCTCTACAAAATCCACATGAGCCAACCAAAGAATTAGTCCTGGGATTTTAAGGTATATTAAAACCACATGGATGAAAACATGGGTTGTTCTGAATGTAGAGTATCTGAGCATACAAGCTCTCTTCTTCCAGCTCTACATTTAGCAGCATTTTGTGGAAAGAACTACTCTTCACCAAAGAGAGAAGTGGTGGGTAGTTCAGTTTTCCCAGAGAAGGGGCTGGTGTCCTTGCCTACTGATGGTACTAATCTGAAGGCAGAGAGGTATCATTATGCCACCAGTAAAACATGGAGTCATTGACTAGGTCTTAATATCCTGGCAGAGAGCAGGCTGTTCCTTCCAACTGTCTCAAAACTGAGTTCTATGCAGCCTTTCTCCCTGAAGGTGTGTGTCTTGCCTTAACTCAACACCCAGGTGGCTTCCTAGAATATTCACTCAGTTAACAACCCAGCCAGACTAAGACTTTAGGACCTTTGGATCCTGAGTTAATGAAGACCCATTGCTGAACAAGACTGAAGACTTATTAAACAAACTACCTAATCTTAATCCATCTGTAGTATCAGTAAGGAGTGTGCAAAAGGAACACTTCCCACAGAACATAAACAAGATAAGAATCTGACATTTTTCTTTGCAATGACTTGACATCCTTGCTTTTTCAAAGGAGAAAATCACTTTCCCAGTGGCCTTTCCTGCTACAACATGTTCCAGGCTCCCATTCAGACAAGGACTGTTTGAGCATGTCCTAATTCCAACATATTTACAGGGCATATACCTTCCTTTAATTTCTTCCATTGCCTGCAGGACAAACAACTCAAAGCAGCTGCTATGGTCTGGATGTTTGTCCTCTCCAAACCTCATGTTGAAATTTGATTCCAAGTGTTAGAGGTGGGATCCAATGGGAGGCGTTTGGATCATGGGAGCAGATTCCTCATCAATAGATTAATGCCCTCTCTCAGAGGTGAGTGGGTTCTCACTTTATTAGTTCCCACAATAGCTGGTTATTTTTTTTAAAGAGACTAACATAGCCCTTTTCTCTCTCTCACCTCCTCTCTCACCACATGATCTCTGTATGCAAAGGCTTCCCTTCACCTTCCACCAGGAGTAGAAGCAACTTGAAGTCCTAACCAAATGCTTAGTTCCAGCCATCAGAATCATGAGCCAAATAAACTTTTTTCTTTCTGTACAAATTACTCAGCCTTACCCATTCCCTCATAGCAACACAAAATGGATTAAAATATCCATGGAATCCAAAAATACTGCTCCCTTAACTTCAAGTTGGTGCCTGACTACCTCACCAAATAGGTGCCTCCAAAACTCATTTTAGTAAATAATTAACACATTCCAAAATTTACCAAAAAAGGAAGAAAAGCAAATGTTTGGGGAAAACAGTTCTTCTGTGATCAGAAGTTAATTGGCTATGCAACAGTCAAAAGTCAGCAGCAGATGAAAGAAAATTCCCCATCATTAGAAGAATCAACACAGAGACATCAGCAATCGTATACCATGCATGCCTGCTCTTGCAGCCCCAACACCCCTGAGACAGTGGCTTGCATCTTGCATGATGTAAGAGTAAGCCACTGGTCTCTTTCACATCCATTCACTGGCATGCAGGAACTCCAAACTTCCAAAGGATAATAACAGCAGGCAAAGGTATCAATCAAGCATGCTCCCTGTGTTCTGGATATCAGTCATGCTAGTTCCCACCCATTTAATTACTATTTTATTGACCACCCACATTCAATTCAGTTTTAAAGACATGACAACAAGGTCTGAGATTTGAGGGATGTACCTGACTCTCTCTCCCCTCCAGTGGTGGTGGAATCTGATCAGCAAAACCAATCTTCCCTGGATCACCCATAAAGGCACTAACCTCATCCACGTTCTCAAAAGCGTTGATGACATCATATGGCAAACAGGACAGAAGGTCAATCACAAACCACGTCTTCAGGTAGTTCATGCGGATAAGTTTAGGGTCGGAAATCACCTCCCCTGCTGGTCCAACAAAGGTGGTATGAAAATTGAGCACAATGTCCACCAAAAAGATAACATCCACAATGCTATCCACAACCAGCCAGGCCACATTGTTCTGCCTGGTTTTAAAGGAGACATTGTAAGGGACCAAGATGGCTGTGTAGAAGGTCAAGATCAAGATGATCCAATCCCACGTGGTCTTAAAAACACAGTAATGTAAGATGATGTGAGGGGGCGTCTTTGGTGCCTCTTGCTTGTATTGTGGAAGGATATCTGAGCCCAGTTGCAGGACCTGTACAAACAAACATGAAAAAGAGTGAACTAAGTTAAGATTTAATGGCAAGCAGCTAACAGATCAGCATCTGTCATTGCCAAATGTTCACAGAACCCTGGATAGATCATTATGTACAATAATAGGTATGAGAGGAATATTGGAGAATAAAAGTAGAAATAGAAATGATAATAAAAATAAAAAACAATAACAATTTGGCAACACTTTAGCCAAGTGTTATACTAAATATGTTACATATACTTGTTATCTCAATTCTAAATATAACTATATTTCATTAACTAATTATTATTCTATGTGACAAATGAGAAACTGAGGTTCAAAAAAATAAGTAACTTTATTCAACAAATATTTATTGCTTTCATTTCATTCAACAGTTGTAGAATACACATTCTTCTCATGAGCAGTGGAACAGAACAGACCATATAGAATGCTACAAAACAAGTCTTAAAAAAAAGTTTTTAAATCAGATTCAGATCAAGGATATTTCCTCACAACAATGGAAGAAAACAAGAAATCAATAACAAATGACACTTTAAAAACTTCACAAATACATGGAAATTAAACAACATGCTCCTGAGTGACCAATGGGTTAATAGAGATATTAAGAAGGAAATCTCAAAAATTTTTATAACAAATCAAAATGGAAATAAAGTGTACCAAAACCTATGAGATACAGTAATAGCAGGACTAAGAGGAAAGTTTATTGAAATAAATGCCTATGTCAAAAAGTAAGAAAGATTTCAAATAAACAATCTAACAATGCACTTAAGGAAACTAGAAAAGCAAAAACAAACCAAATCCCAAAATAGAAGAAGGAAATAAATAATAAATATCAAAGCCAAAATAAATAAAATTGAAACAAAAAAAATCACAAAAGATCAACGAAAAGTTGGGTTTTTGAAAAGATAAACAAAACCAACAAACCTTAAGCTAGATTAAGAAAAAAAAGAGAAACCCCAAATAAGTAAAATTAGAGATTAAAAAGGAAATATCATACCTAATACCACAGAAATACAAAGGATTATTAGAGACTATTATGAATAACCATGTGCCATCAAATTGAAAAACCTAGAGAAAATAATAAATTCCAGGACACATACAAACTACCAAGATTGAACCAGAAAGAAACAGAAAACTTAAACAGACCAATAATAAGTAATAAGATCAATTAAGTCAGTAATTTTTTTTAAAACTCTCAATGAGGAAAAACCCAAGACCAGGTGGCTTCACTGCTGAATTCTACCAAACTTTTAAAGAAGAGCTAATACCAATTCTTGTTAAACTATTCCAAGAAATTGAAGTGAAGGGAATTCTTCCAAACTCAATCTACAAAGCCAGCATTACCCCAATACCAAAACCAGACAGACACAATGAAAATAGACAACAAGAGTCAATATTACTGATGAACATAGATGCAAAAATCCTCAACAAAATAAAAACAAACTGAATTCAATAGCACATTAAAAAGTTTATACACCATGATCAAGTGGAATTTATCCAGGGATGCAAGAATGACTCAACAAACAAAATCAATAAATGTGACACATCACATTAACATGATAATGAAAAAAAACCATATGATCATCTTATAGATGCAGAGAAAGCATTTGATAAAATTCAAAATCCCTTCATGACAAAAATTCTGAACAAATTAGGTACAGAAGAGATGCTGCTCAAAACAATAAAGGCCGTATATGACAAGCCCACAGCTAATATCATACTGAATGGGGAAAAGCTAAAAACTTCTCCTTCAAAAACTGGAACAAGACAAGGATGGCCATTTTTACCACTTTTATTCAACACAGTACTGGAAAACCCAGCCAGAGCAATTACTCAAGAGAAATAAATAAAGGTATCCATGTTAGAAAAGAGAAAGTCAAACTGTTCCAGTTTGCAAATATGATCTTATATTTAGAAAAACCTAAAGACAGCACCAAAAAACTGATAGAATTTACAAACAAATCCCTTAAAGTTACAGGATAAAAAATCAACATATAAAAATAAGTATCATGTCTATGCATCAATAGCAAACAAAAAAATCAAAAGAGCAATCCCATTTATAGTAGCTACAAAAATACTTAGGAATAAATTCAACCAAAGCAGTTAAATTGAACAATAAAACACTGATTTAAAAACTTGAAGAGAGCCAGGCTCAGTGGCCCAGCCTGTAATCCCGCACCTTTGGGAGGCTGAGGTGAGTGGATTGCCTGACCCCGCGGGTTCGAGACCTGCCTGGGCAACTTGGCAAGACCTCATCTCTATAGTAAATCAAAAATTAGCCAGGCATGGTATCACACGCCTGTAGTTCCAGCTACTTGGAAGGCTGAGGTGGAAGGATCGCTGGGTGACAGAGTGAGACTCCAACTCAAAAAAAAAAAAACTTGAAGAGGACATACAAAAGGAAAAGATATCCTTGTTCATGGACTGGAAGAATTAATATCATTAAAATGTTCGTACTTCTCAAAGTAATCTTCAGAATCAGTGCAATCCCTATCAAAATACTAATGATATTCTTCAAAGAATTAGAAAATATAATCCTAAAATGTATATGGAATTATAAGGACCATGACTAGCCAACAGTCCTGAGCAAAAAGAGCAAAGCTGGAGTCACAGGACAGGACTTCAAACAGAGCTATAGTAATCAAAACAGTATGGCACTGGCACTAAAACAGTCAAACAGACCAATGGAACAAAATCAAGAACCCAGAAAGACACACATGTATTTATATACAACTGGTTTTTCACAAAGGCACCAAGCACACTCATTGGGGAAAGGATAGTCTCTTCAATAAACGGTACTGGGAAAACTGGATACCTGTAAAGCAGAAGAATGAAACCAGACTCATATCTCTCACCATATACAAAAATCAGTTCAACATGGATTAAATGCTTTAAAAACATAAGCCCCTAGACAGGCACTGTGGCTCATGCCTGTAATCCCAGCAATTTGGGAGGTGGAGGTGAGAGGATTCCCTGAGTCCACAGGTTTGAGACCAGCCAAAGTGACATGGTGAGACCTCATCTCTAGTAAATTAAAAAAAATTAGCAAGGCATGGTGGCATGCACCTGGTTCCAGCTACCTGGATGGCTGAGGTGGAAGGATTGCCTGAGCCTAACAGGTTGAGACTGTGGTGGCCATGAGCATGCCACTGCATTCTAGACTGGGTAACAGAGTGAGACTCTGACTTTTAAAAAAAAAAAAAGGAAAACCCCAAACTGAAACTTCTAGAAGAAAACACAGGAGAAATGTTTGAGAATATTGGTCTGGGCAAAGATTCCTGGAGTAAGACCTCAAAAGTACAGGCAACAAAAGCAAAAATAGACAAATAGGATTATATCAAATTAAAAATCTTCTACAAAGCAAAGGAAACAACCAACAGAATAAAGAGGCAACGTACAGAATAGGAAAAAAAAATATGTTCAGACTATTCACCCGACAAGGGATTAGTATCCAGAACATAAAAGGAAATCAACTCAACAGCAAAAAAACAAGTAATGTTATTTTTAAATGGGTAAATGATCCGAATATATATTTCTCAAAAAAAGACATACAAATGGTCAACAGGCAGAAGAAAAAATGCTCAACGAGACTAATAATCTGGGAAATACAAGTCAAAATGCAATGAGATATCATCTCACCCCAGTTAAAATGGTTATTATCAAAAAGAAAAAATAAATGATAGTAAGGATGAAAAGAAAAAGGAACTCTTATACGCTGTTGGTAGAAATGTTAATTAGTACAGCCCTATAGACAGTGTTATTAGTACAGCCCTTTAGTTTTGGAGGTTCCTCAAAAAACTAAAAATAGAACTACCTACACCAATAACAAACAAACAGAAACCCAAATAAAAAGCACAATCCCATTCACAATAGCCACAAAAAAAATGAAATACCTTGGCATCTTCCTAACCAGGGAAGTGAAAGACCTTTACAATGAAAACTACAAAATACTGCTCAAAGAAATCAAAGATGACACAAACAAGTGGAAAAATATCCCACGCTCATGGACTGGAAGAATCAACATTGTGAAGATGTCCATCTTAACTAAGGCAATCTACAAATTCAATGCAATACCCATCAAATTACCAGCAACATTCTTCTCAGACCTAGAAAAAACAACACAGGAATTCATATGGAAACACAAACGTCCAAGAATAGCCAGAACAATCCTCAGCAAAAAAAAAAGCACGTGGTATCACATTACCAGATTTCAAACTTTACTATAAAGCTACAATCATCAAAACAGCTTGATATTGGTACAGGAACAGGCATATAGACCAATGGAATAGAATTGAGATTCCAGAAGCAAAACCTCAATTTCTCAATCAACTCATCTTCAACAAAGCCTCCACCACCTACCAATGGGGAGAGGAGAACCTATTCAGTAAATGGTGCTGGGAAAACTGGCTGACCACATGCAGAAGACTCAAACAAGACCCCTATCTATCCCCATACACAAAAACTAACTCTAAATGGATCAGAGACCTAAATGTAAAACCTCAAACCATAAGAACCTTAGAAAATGCAGGACACAACCTTATGGAAGTTGGAAATGGCATCCAATTCCTGAACAAAATGCACGGGCCATAAGAGATAAGATAGACAAGTGGGACCTCATTAAACTGACAAGCTTCTGCAAAGTCAAAGAAACCATCAAGAGAACAGGAAGACAGCCCACAGAGTGGGAAAAAGTATTTGTCAACTCCATGTCTGACAAAGGCCCAACATCTTGGATCTATAAAGGAACTCAAATGTGCTGAAAAGAAAAAAACAAACAACTCCAGTACAAAGTGGGCAAAAGATATAAACAGACACTTCACAAAAGAAGACATATGAGCGCCCAACAGATACATGAAGAAATGTTCAACCTCACTAATCATTAAGGAGATGCAAATTAAAACTACACTGAGATACCACCTAACTCCAGTCAGAATGGCCATTATCAATAACTCAAAAAATAACAGATGCTGGAGAGGATGTGGTGAAAAGGGAACACTTCT